CTCACAGCTCCTGTTCATGGGAAGGCATTAGGAAAAAGCTCTCTAGCTACTTCAGTAGCTAGCAGAGCGGGTATTTCAGTGCTAGCTTTTAGAAGCTCCCTTTCATGACAATGTACCTTTATTACTTTTTGTTGTTGAGATTCTGAATCCATGCAAAGTTCCCTGCCGTTTAGTACAACCTGACAGATTGGGCAAAATGAGCCATCTCAGCAGCAAAGGATACCTTTTCCAGTGTTTAATATCCCTTTAAAAAAATTCCCTGTAGACAGAGAAGCCAAAAGATCTTTAATTTTAGACCAGGGGGTATGCAAGGACATCAAAAAGAAGTGTTACTTACTAATAGCCCCTGTGTAGGTTGGCTGTGTAAGGTCTTTTGGCACCTTCCTGTAGATGTCAAACCTGAAAGAGGAAAAGCAACAGCCATAAAACAGGTGGAACATTTCAACGCATTTCATGTCCCCCCACAGGGATGAATGATACTGAAGTTTTTCCATCCAGTGTTCCAACAACAGTTTTTCAGTTTGCAGAAGGATATGAGAAAGAAAAACAAAACAAAACAAAAAATCCTTTTGCTTTTGTACAATTATGTAACTGCGCTCCTTCTTGGCTCCAATTCCCAAAGCACTTCCCTCCGCCTCCCTCCGCCTTGCTGCCATGGATCTGTGCAATCTGAATTGCAAGCGGTGCCAGGGAAGAAGTCATGCTGGAAAGTTTATAGACCACCGTAAAAGGAAAAGGATACTCTACAGACTCATGAATAAAGACGCCTGGTAAAAAAAACAGTGAGAGACAACTGATATTGCCCCTCCTTGTTTGTATCCTGCAATAGCCAGAAACCGATACCACCAAAGTCAGAAATCAGGGTGTTGAGACAATAAACCTACCCTTGGACACTGGATACTCAACAGAAGTTAACCAAAGAAGTTTGCTACTCCCCCAGCAAAATCTGGTTTAATATTAGACCGTTGTTTTGATTCAGTCATATCTTTTAATATCCATATGGCTCAGCTTTGCTATTTTAAACTCTCCATGGTTAAACTTTCACTGGCCTTATGATGTTAGCTGTATTATTTCCTACAACCTTGTGTTCCTGCACGTCCAGCCGCAATGCAGCTCTGACATCAGTTTTTCCACTACTCAATAAAAATTAATTAATGCATTAAAAACACACACACACCCTAAAGAAGGAAGTGACTGGTTCTCCCCCAAAATAGACTTTTTTTGGATATACCACAAGTGGGTGAGATTTGATGCTTTTTCCAGCCCTGGAGAGGCGTGAGAGACATTGGCTTTCTGAATTTCTATTCTATACTGCACCAAGATGAAACATCCTCATGTTTATTCAGTAGTTCCTACTACACCAAATATTATACTGAGAGTTTAAAAACTAGATCATCTTTCTTTTCCTCACTCTTCATCTGTTAAGAATCACTTACAGCTTGGAGGCACTCTGGGTGAACAAAACAGCATTTGCCTTGCATGAGATTGGAAGGACACTGTTGCTGTGGCTCATTCAGGAGTTGAAGTGGGAGGAAAGAAGGGTAAGAGAGGGAAGGAGAGCAGGTATAAAGATAGTTCACCCACCCGCTCAAGTCCTGAACATGCTATGCAGTCACTTAACTGTTCCAACACCCCACCGTGATACTCATGACAGAGTATGCTGCACAGGACATGCCTTGGAGCTGTATGTTTTTATGACTCTATTCACTGCCATCTCCTAAATAGATTAGTAATATTCCTGAACTAAACAGTCCATTTATGGCTCTCCAGCTGCCCTGAGAACATCTGGAAAGTGCTGTTTACATTCTTTCCACATACACCAAAGCAACAGCAGCAGCGGATGGTCAAGCAACCCAGAGTAGCTGATGACATCATGGTCTCACAGGCAGAGGAAGTAGCCGCTCACAGCCCATTAAACACTGAAAGCTGGCGTCGTCTCGCCACAGTCACAATAATAGATCAACAAGGCTAAAAAAGCTGAGAGAGAAAGAGGGAGAGAGCAAGAGAGAGCGCACATGGACACGCAGGAACTGCTGAGGTTGAGCGAACATTTAGAAAAAGGAAATAGCTCTTTGCTGGATTCAGTAAAACCAGCAGCATGCACATACTGTAAAAGGAAATTTGTTCCTACTATTAGAAATATTTACTAGTATTAAAATGATGATGCATCACAGCAATAAAAAAAATAAAAATCTAGCTTTCTAAATAACTCAGTGGAAAGTTGGTGTCAGGGTTCTCTCCTCTCAGACTGCCATTTTAATCACGTAAGTAACACCCAAACCCCCCAAATTAAGTTTTACATGGTGCAAGTAAACTAGGATTAGCCAAAGACACTACAGAAAGCAATCAGTGGCTCCCAGCCACATTTATCACTGGCTTTTAAGTGCTTAAAAGGCAGTCCATGCTCTCCGTGCTATTCTGCTTCCCATCTCTTCTACAACGTTACATTCCCTCTCTCTTCTACTACCATGACACATATCTAAAAAGGGCTTTAAGTAGGTCTCTGGATCTGATTTCCCTGGAGTTTTAAGAACTCTTGGGTCTATACTTACAGGCTCAAGCCTCCCTGCAGGCACAGTACAGCACATTTGCAACAGTTTTCACATGGGGCCCTTAATGCACTTTAAAGACCACGTCATGTACGAGCACAGTGAGCGTACACAGCTTGCTAGCAAAGAACATCAGGCAAACAGCATCCCAGCCTTGAACTTCCAGTCTAAAGGCACATACAAGAAGAGTACAGAACATCCCAGGAGAACTGCCTAAAGCTTCAATGGCTTTGTTTGGTAGAATTAACACATTTTTTGATAAGGACAGACACTAAGGAATAACACAGAATCAAGAGCGGGCAACATATGCAAAAGAAGCAATGAGAGCAGACTGGAGGGTAGGGAGGAAGGAGGCAAGCTCGGCTGAGATCTCATGGGTGAATGCAGAAGCTTGAAGGATGACATCCAGAACCTGACTCAAGCAGCAGAAGACATTATCAAAAACAATGAACATTAACAGCAAGGGAACAGAAAAAGACAGGTTTGGAATAAGAGACAAACACTGTTGGCTAACCCCTGCTCACTGACACATGATACCAGTAAATCCAAGAGACTACCAAACCAAAAGAAAAAGGACTGGGTATGTGCATGTATCCTGGGGGAACATTCATCTGCTTGGAAAATACATGCTCTGGATTAGGAGGGTTTATACTCTGGTAACGGAAAGTACTCTTCAGGGTACCAGGCATCTTCCCATAAAGCATCTGATATTGGCCACAGCTTGAGAAAGTGCAATTTATTTAGTCTGATCCAGGATGGCGAAAACAGTAGTTGAGTTTATGCTTTCAGAGAAGGGCAAGTTGGAAGCCCAAAAGGACAGCAAGACATCAAACTTGGAAGAGACTGATGGAGATGCTGGCATGGCCAGGGAACAGAGCTATCTTGTTACTTCTGATTTAAACTCTGAGTTGAAAGAAGGTAAAAATTGCAGAGGATTCAATGACAGCTTGAAAACCGTGTTTGTGAGACACAAGAGATATGAGACCCCAGCAGTAAGTAGAGGATGCAACCCCAAAGAAGGCCTCATTAATTACAGGTAATTATAACAAATAAGTAAATTAAGTAAACTTCTCAAACAAATCCGTGAAGCTGACAAGAGTTACTGTAACAGGAGGCCCTAAGCCCCATGAAATTATAGATTTGTGAAAGCCATAGCTCCTATCAGACCTAAGGGTTAAAAATCTGATTAACTTCTAGACTCTGCTGGACAAACCCCTCTCCTTCTGCCACGGCTTCTTGCCTACGTCAGAGTTCAAAACAATTTCAAGGGATCACTTTACACTGTCCTGGGAAGAGAAAAGAATGACGATTAGACACCACAGGTGATTTGTAATGTATGAGGGAGGAGGCCATGGAGTTGTATGAATGGTAAAGGGGAACAGGTTTTACTTGCCCTCAGGTTAGATGTTCCTGCAAGCACCTGCAGTAAAAATTCCAGTAAGTCTCCAGGTTCCTGAGGCATTGGCCACTTGGAAGAGTATTTGTACCCTGGAAAGAGAGGAACCTCGTGTTCTATATATTGCAAAAGCTGCCTCACAGATTTCTAATACTGGCGCATTCAAAGCGGTGGAAGATATTACTAATGCTGGAAGAAGACTGGATGTTCAGAAAGGTTATACCAGCCAGCTCACAACAAGCAAGACGCACTGTACTACACTGTGAACATCCACTCTGACAGTCTTGCAGTCATATCCGAAATGACCATGAGAAGCCAGGGTGTAGACTTTCAGTGCATTCCCTGCCTTGCAGTAACTGTTAAGTGAGCTCTCTCAACCTGCAGTACCATGCAGCAGTTTACCCCACGTTCACACAGGGGTACATTACTTTGCACTTACAAAGCATGCACACATACAGTTTCCACAGGATGACCGGCATGTTATTTATATCCACCTTTTGGCAACTTTCCTCCTTCGCTCAGAAAGGCAAGGCTTGTATGGCAAAGCAGTCTCTTTTGAGTCAACCAACTGACATAGCTGCAGAGTGGAAACAACAAACTTTTTGCTATGAAAGCTCTTCCTCCAGGTCATACACATCCTCATAAAGGGAGGGCTGGCCCTTGCAATACCAGCATACAAGGCTAAAGATAGAACTAGGCCGTCATCAGTATAACAAAGGAACTGCCTGACACATCCAGTGTATCTATTGTCTTTTCATTCAATGGAGAGCATGGTTGCAAACAAAGAAATAAAAAAAGGCTGTTTGGCAATGTCAGAGTTTTGCAGGAACCAACATTCTTAACTAACATCAGGGAATGCTACAGTACTTTTTTTCTCAGTCCAATGCTGAAAGGACACAACCAAGAACTTTCTCACTTCACTGACAGGAATGACAACAAACAGGTCAAACAGCATTGTAAAGAAGAGTAGCATAAGGATCATTCTTCAATAGGTTCAAACAGAGAATTCACAAACCTTAGCATGATCAAATGAGGTCTGAGGCAGAACTCCAGCTGTCTGAAGGACAACAGTCCTCTCAGAAACATAGAAATTACATGTTTGGTCTCATCTTACTGCAGTTGCACAAGTGGACAGTGATGGTAAAATTGCAGTTTGGCTCAATGGAGCCAAGCAAAAGGATAGCAGATTTCAAGTCCCAATAAGTATTAGATGGACTTCAAAATCTCCATTTAGACTAATATGGGCTGTTGCTATTCGAACTTTTTTTCTTCAGATAGAAGTATATGCTCTTCGTGTTCACTTTTCAGGATCTCCTGCCACAGAAAGCATCGAAGTGTTTAACAAGCCAGAGGCAGATGCTGTAGTGCTCATCGGAGTGGGGCAGCCACCAACAATCACGCCCAAGGCTGGCTACATGGAGGCAATGGTAGGTCAAACCCAACAGAATGAAGCA